GCCTCCAGGCCTGACCAGCACGCAAGGACACTTGCCCATGAAATCAAGGAACCTGTTTCCACAGGAAGCACTTCCTTCCTGGCCCAGAACCCCCTGATGGTTTCACGAGAGAGGTTACAAAAACAATCCCGGAATTCATGTTGCAGAGTGTACTCCAAAGTAAGGAAATTTGTGCCTGATGCGATAACTCCGTAACAGTGTTCCCAGCAGGAAATTGTGTCATGCCTGTGTCACTCTGGGCTGTGACTTGACCAATGTCACTTTTATTCAAAAAGGCCTTGTGAGTCAGTTCTTTAAAATGAGTCATAGTTCATTCATTGTTACTGACTGTAAATTACAGTGTCTCCACACAAAGCACTTTCACATTTTGTGAAAGCAATGACATTAGGTTAAAATACTGCACTACAAGAGCAAATACTAATAAGATGCTGTGCTGAATGAATATCAAATTATTGCAATGCCAGGTAATAACAACACTGTCATTTTCTCCCAAAGCATGGACTCTTCTCCTTCTCTATAAACCACCTTTGGTTCACCAATCAGAAACAAAGGGGTACTTTCTAATAAGTCAGACAACCTAACAGTAAATTTAGCAGAAAAGGAACCACATGCAACCCCTGGTCTGCACATTTGGGTGTTTACATTTCTTTCTAAATTGGGTATGCTTCTATTTCATTAAGATTTGAATTGTTAAAGAGGTTACACATGGGAATCCTCAACAACTATCCAAGGGAGACCCTAGAATCGAATGGAAACTATTCTAATTTTAATACATTCATATTTACAACAACACTGCTTATTAATTCTAGATTTTGATTTGAATTGGTTTAATCCTTCTTCTGAGGAATTTCTTCAAAAATAGTCTCTCTGTCAGAATAGGCTAAAAACCCTTAGTTCAGATAATGAGGCTTCAATACAGACATTGCAACACAAGCTGCTGGTTTCCTCAATACCACAGCCACCTTGGCTCCTGGCATATCAGACCGTCTTTTCCTGCTGGACTGATTTTTATCCATCTTCACAAAAAAAAATGACTCCTGAAACAAGACAGATCTCCCAGAAAACAAAATCCTGAAGATTTATCAGTTCCTTGGAACTGCAACCGTCTTTTGGAAAATCAGTGGAATCTGGTAGCCTGTGTAGCCAAAATACATTGACATTTGGAATAAAAATGACAGGACACTGAGCTTCACTCTTAGATCCAGAGGTACAGATCTCATATACAAAACTGCATATGATACAAATACCCCTCAGAATAATGTACAAACCATTTCTGCATCCAAAATAAAATAGTGACATGGGTAATATGTTACATTTTACAGTGCTGATAATAAAATTAACACTTTTATTAATTGCTTAGCACAGCTTTGTGTTAAAAATATACTTATGAATTAAAGAAATGTTATCCTTTTAAATTTATATAGGTCTTATATATTTATTTAGACTTATATTTACTAAGACTTACATTATTTACGTATATTAATATAACTTTCCCTAAAAATAAATTTATTAAATATGATCTCAGATTATAATGAAGTAATTTAAAGCACATGGCAGTGTGGTATACGGATACAGATAAGAGATAAGGGAGTGGTATTGTATTCAAAATGTGAAGGAGCTGAAGTGGATATTGTGATGGGCTTCCTCACCCTGTTTGATTTAACTGACTTTTGAGAATACAGTACTTTTACTATAGCAAGATTTATGGATTGGCTTAAAGGTACCGCTTATATGGAAAATCTAAAAATGGTATACTGGAATCCTAATAGCACAGCACAGAACAAAGTCATATTTGTCACAAATAATTTAATTCCAGATAACACGAGGGCCACATTTATTCATACCATTGTAGTCAGTTTTTTATATATCCTGGCATGAACTCCACTGACAAGACTCCTGCTATAGTGCTTATGAGGCTCTGGCACCTCTGACTGGGGATTTCTGATCATTCCTCTAGGCAGAAATGCTCCTGGTCTATCGCACCTCTTGGTTCCTTCATGAGCCCGGCACACAAACGATGGACTGGATTGAGGTCTGGAGACAGAGGTGGCCAATCAGAAACATTTATTTTATGTGCAGCTAACCATTTGTTAATCTGGATGTACGTTATCTATACTGCACAGTACATTGCCTTACTGGAATCTCAACTTTCAGTCAGATTTGAGCTTCAGTGGTGGAATTCTTAATCCTTCCCATCTCCAGGACCCATAGATGCAAAACAACCTAAAAATATGTATTTTCCCTGCTCACATTTCACAGTAGGCATAAGCAATCTCAACTTCTTTATGCCAAACATAAACATAATGCTGATGACCATGTCATCATAGCTCAATTATTCCTCCATGTAACAGTGTCTTATTTACAAGTATTTGGGGATTGAATGGATTCAGATAGCACTATTGAAGATACTGGCGATTAGCTGAAGAAACGGGAACGTGTATATTGTAAGCACCAGCAGACAGTAAGAGGCTTTTTTCAGGTGAGAAGTGTAGTTTAGTAGTGTAGTAGAAACTCACCAGTGGGCAAGACAACGGTGGCTCTGTGGCTAAGGATCTGCGCCTGTGGCTGGAAGGTTGCCGGTTCGAATCACACGGCCTGATGAGGAAGTTTATTCTTTTGGGCCCCTGAGCAAGGCCCATAACCCCAACTGTTCCAGGGGCGCCGTATAAATGGCTGATCCTGCGCTCTAACCCCAAGCTTCTCTCCCTGTCTGTGTGTCTCATGGAGAGCAAGTTGGGGTGTGCAAATAGACAAGTTCCTAATACAAAAAACTGTATATGGCCGATAAAGTGATCTTAACCGTCTTAGAAAGTCACTTCCAAATTGAGCAATGCAAAGCAACACACATGAGCTATGGGATACAAAGTGAAGTGACAGATTGGTAAAACTTCATACAGTCATGTTTAATGGCTTAACACTGATTTTAAATCATGGATTTACTGATTCCCATTGAAACGTCAAACCTTCTAAGGATTTCAGATGCCCATATATAATTTTTAAAAGCAAATACATTTTATAGCACTACCATTTATTTTGTTATTGACATTTAATTCTCTAAAGTCTGCATCACATAGGATTTATCATACAATATCATATATTAAGGAAATTTAAACATGCTCTTTATACTGTATTTATTAAAGACCAACAGGTGTCTTACAAGTACTTGCTATTAAAGCCTTCACTGTGCAACAGTATTACTGCATAAACACAGCGAGTGAAACCGTGGCTCATGTTACTTCACAACAAAAAAACAACAGTGCGGATTCCTGGCATTTCTGGGCCAGATTTAATTGCAAAAAATACACTTCAGGTGATGCAGCTGGATATTTCAGGACAAAAGGAAACACAGAACTGATCATATGTGGGAGGGGAACAGCAGTATTTAATGAAAACCAAATTTATACAGAAACCCAAACCCTCCAATATGATCCTCATCTCCCAATATATGTATATAAGGGGTTTCACATTCCCTGTGGTGAAACCACATGTAACAAAGAACAGGTCAACACTGAAGGGTTAAACAAACGTTTTGAAAGTGCCTTAGGTTTTAGCAAATATATCTCACATTAATTTTTTTAATCAAGTACACACACTGCTCCAATATTTGCAAAGGCTGCACAAAAACAAAATACTAATTGAATTATTTAAAAAGGTAACAAAACCTGCATTGTTTCTACTGATAACAGCGAGGTGTCTTCACCGTGGAAATGCGAGCTGACATTTCTAGGAATGAGAAAATGACCACCAAGCCCACTGCCCATTTTAAAACAGCAGCAGCACTTTTGTCAGATTCCAGAACCCGACACTACAAAAATGAGAAGGATGATACAGATGCTGAACGTCTATGTCCACGTGAACATCTTTCGGCCCAAACAGTGACTTTTACCCTAACACGGAGAAGAGAAGGTCACAGGGAACACTGCCACCCCAGTGATCAAAGGACCACTGCAACCAATCACAGACGAACCATCCCCTCAATTCTAGAATAAATATTGACGGAACCAAACACAAATGGCTCAGGGACACCCCTTCATCCTTCATTAACATAAGTATAGATCTTGAAATGTGTGCCCATGCAGAAGTTAAGCTTTTAAACCCCAAATCCTAGCAAAATTTAAAGAACAATGAAAACTAATTATTTATATTCCTCCAGAACAGACTGACTCATCGGCACCTCACACATTTTAGCTTGCTAGTGGCTCATTTGTAATTTTGCAGCCTGGCTGATACTTGGCTTGAACGGACGTTAGAAAGCCAAATCCCAATATTCGTTCTCCAAACATTCGAGTTCCGACCCCCCCTGGAACTCTGCTCCAGAGCCACCCCATGAGCGTTTTAGCAAACCAAGCAAAGATCAGCTTTGTGCAGTTCAGTGCTTCCAGTCTACAGTTTCAGACAGTTCCAAATATATATGTACACACACGCAGCCTAGAACTCCCCAGGAACTGTAACACAGTAGTACATGTTGATCAACACTGTTTTCCAGATCAGCCAGGAGGGCTAGCTTCCCAGCATGCCTGAAGTCAAGATGTAGCCAACAGGGAGTATACTGTATCTAGCATTTTTTATTCTGTTTTACAAATTCCTTTCCAATTCCCACCTAACGGCAATCGCAATCATTGTTTCTTTTTGTCAAGTGCTTTGAGAAGCCACTTTTAAAAGGAGCCAAATAAAATAAAGTTTATCATCATTATTATCATTATCTGATCTGGCGAAAGGAACTGGGCCTGCTTCATGTAAAGATTTAAATGTTACTTTAAAGGTGTCTAAGAAAAAAAAAACTTTACTGCAGAAGTTATCGTAAATCATTATAAAGGGTGACAAATTCATTTCCCTTTTGCTAAACACGTACAGTACCAGCGCACTGTGGCCTTGCCCCAAACAATATTGGAACAATGGCTAGATGGAAGAAAACAGCAATCTATTGCGAGATCTACCTGGTTAATCCACACAAGCCTTTCCAATAGCACATAAGGCAGAAATCAATTGTTCACACTCACCGTTCCAACCAGAGGATAGATGAATCCTGCTCCAATGCTGGCACGCACATCCCGAATGGGCAGGACAAAGCCTGTGGGCACCCCTTTCCTTTCAGGCTGGTGCGATAGTGACAGGTGAGTCTTGGCCATACAGACAGGTAGGGTTCCAAAACCCTTGGAAAGGAAAGAATGAGAAAAAGAATAAGCCCGACCTTACTAAATTAACTAAATAAAAGTGATCTCTTCATTATACTAAAAAAAAACTTCCCACCCAAAAAAAGATACAAGAAAACTTTGAATGAGCTAATCTGGATTCTATTACATGAGAGCAAAATATAGAAATGATTAATTCCCACAATTCATTACCATTTGCTTGCAATCAAACCTTTAAGGTGTTTTTTTTTGTGTGCAAAAAGCAAATACAGGGGGTCGATGAAATAATAGAAACATCAATCAGTATGTTAATATTTATTAACTAATAAGAAGATTGGTCAACCTTTGCCTTCAGAATGACTTCAAACCTTCTTGGAATACTATTATACAAGTTCTGAACTGCTTCTATTGTGATACTAGACCATTCTACAAGAAGCAGAGCCTCTAGTTCCTTGATAGAAGGAAGTGGAAATCTTCTCTGCACTCCAGTTTCCAGATCTTCCCATAGTGGTTCAGTGATGTTTAGATCTGGTGATTGGGGAGGCCATGAAATTAACCAGAGTCTACGGGGAGTGTACGTTATCATCTTGGAATATGAGAAGATCTTGAGGAAGTAGTTTGCACCTTAGGGTGCACCTGGTCCTAAAATGGCTTTGTATTTCTTGTAGTTCAGGTGGATAGCTGTGTCAGCATGCGTAGGCTGCAAAGGAACAAGTAATAGGTTTATTCCATGCTGGAAAGAGAAGAAAGAAAACACAACGTTTTGGCCATGGAGCCTTCTTCAGGTGTCAGGTGTATTTCTTGGCCTTTCATCTTCCATTAGCAATAATCGGACCTAATGACTTACACGACATGACTGCCCAGACCATAAAAAATCCACCACCATGTTAAGTAGCTGGGAACAGGCAGTGTGGTTTGAAAGCTTCCTTTGGCTTTCTCCAAACACAAGGCCATCATGATGTAGAAAAAGAGTTAAAGACAATTAATCAGACCATATTACTTTCTTCCACTGCTCAGAAGTCCAGGTTGTGCTCATTGCACGCAGTGTTGCTACAGCATTGGTAATAAGGTTATAAGCAATTTCCAAATGGCAGCCCTTCCATAAATATCAGCTTTGTGAAGCTTATGATGTTCAGTTTTTGTAGTGTCTGGGTCATTGAGCTGTAAATTCAGATATGTGGTATTTTTTGTGTTTTTTAGAACCTATCCTGTTAAGCGTCTGTCTAACTATATCTGTTAAGTGTTTATCTTGTGACTTTTTTGTTGCTTTTTCCTGATGCTGTTTTCCCTTGTTTCGCATATGTCATCATGATTTTTGACACTGTTGCCTTTGACACATTAAATAATTTTGCCATTTTTATTTTGACACGATCTATTTTATCTCTTTCAAATTCTCTCATGCTGCTTTAGAAACTCGCACATGAAATTGTTGATTTTATGGTGTCAGAAACATATACTTATTTAGCTTTCAAATTAAGAAGAAACACATGTTTTTAATTGCAATTTACTTTAAAATATGAGCCATTTGTTGTTTGTTTCCCTTATGTTGTCCACCCCCTGTACATGCACATTTTACTGGTCAAATTAGCTATGCCCTGCTGATTAATCCTATTTAGGGAGAAACAGCTGTTCGTGGCAGATCATTTTGACATGACATAAAAACGTGGAATTATAATTCACACTTTTAGATTGTAAAGGCTTTATTAGGTGAAGCCACACTTGCAAGACATCTTACTTTTTGTGAATAACCTTTGCTTTATTCACACAAATCTGACAAGCAGCACCTCCACTTCTTCTCCATTAACTGCAACAGCATATCAGACATTCCCACAGGCTCTGGGGAGTCAAATTTCAGTTTCCCCCCACACAATTCACACCCACTATTATAACTGTATGGGAAAGATTAAGTGGGTTACAGTATGTGCACAATATACAAGATATGAGTTATTATCCGTTGAGGGATTCAGAGATATGTCATTTTACAAAGATGAAGAATGAACATTGTTCTCTCCCCCAGCCTCTCTGTACTCAATCATACTAATAAACTTTAGGGTATACTATATAATGCCTAAAAAGGCAATGGTCTCAAAATGCTTAGGTCAGTAATGAACAGTAATGAGTATACACATTCGAAAAAGAAATAAAAAGTACTTGTGTTGTACACAATTGTCAAATAATTTCTAACCATTTCTAAATTCTGACATCATCAGTCTTTCAACAAGATTACTGATGCATTTACTTCTCTCCACACAGCTGAATCTTTTAACCATTTAAACCTTGCGTACAACACCAATACATTTTATTTTGTATACTGCAGTCCAGCAGTATATATATATATTTTGGACTGTTGGAGGAAACCTGAGCACTCGTAGGAAACCCAAGCAAAAAGGGGGAGAACATACAAACTGCACAGAAAGCACCCCAGGAATTGAACCCAAGGCCCCAGCGCTGAGAGGCAGCAATGCTCTGTACAGTTTACAGTATAACAAAAACACTCTTGATTTTATGTTACAAAAATATTTTCTGGGGCACTTAAAAGAGTACTGTTCATGATACCAAGTTCAAATTAGTCTGCAGATTGCTGTGCTAACTCCACTTTCCCCATGAGAAGCTATTGTTGTACACTCACCTGCTTGTTGTAGCAGTCTATTTTTGCTTGAGCGTCTGGTGACAGTTCAATGTCTTTAGCTCCATAGATTTTCTGCGCAATAGTTCTAATCTTTTCCACAATGGGCATCTGTAAAAGAAAACAAATGGACATTTTAATCCCCTGAAGATTGGGCTTCAAAACATTTCACAGGTCTAACAATTTGTTGTATCTCCGTTTAAATTTGGTGGGTTTACCTCCTGTGAGACAAAGGATTTATTATACAGTACATCAGAGTGAAAAGGGTAAAAAGTTTTAATAAAATAAGTATGTTTAAAGCAATTTTGAATATATAGATATTTTCAAAACAAAATAAGAAGCTGCACAATTATTTGTTATTTTGCTACATGCTGAAATTCTGTGAAAATATAAGACAAAAAATTTCTTGAGCATCTAATAACCAAGAAAAGGGAATCTGATTACATGTCCCACATTACTTAGCTGAAGAGATTTGGAAGGGGTGAGGCTAAATAAGATGGTTTACATGGTCATATGAAATGGGATTTTGTAATTGTTGGTTAAGCACTTTCATGCTTTTTGTTTTATATGAACTGAGATCCCAACTCTCTACGGATTAAAAACAAAATTCAAAACAAGAATATTGTGGAGAGACTCCATCTGGTAAATGCTGTTTCTTTTTCTGAAAACAAAACGCTCCTTTTATGGAAGCTTTCAGTTTAAATTAAAATGATTCAACAAAAAGACCAGAAATAAACCCTCAAAATATATTCTTAGAAAATTAAATTTAACTACTCAGACAGGAATGCAAGTACATTTCATTTCAACATTTCAGCTGTGAAAGTCATCCTGTACGACCCCTGCCACTCGCAAAATAAACAAGCATTAAAATACAGAATTCTTAATAAAAATACCAATTCAAAAACAATGGATTAAGGTCATCAGGACTTCTTTCAACATCTTTTTGCTAAGCTGACAAGAAAACCGTTATTGTTTTTTTCATTTTGATATCAGTTTTATCTGATTTAAAACACTCTAGCTGACAGCTTGTCTTTTGGAACAAAATGACATGCGAATGGCAGTCAGACCCATAAGCTCTACTAGCCAGTGTAATCCAAAGCTAAAAACAAAATGATTCCGGGGGGCTCCCATGTGGCCCAATTGATCAAGGTGCCTGTGAGGATCACAGGTCCACAGCCTGCTGTGACGGCAATCCACCAAGTGGTGGCGCACAAGTAGCCAAGTGCTGCCAGGAATTTGGGATCTTGAGCCACTTATGATATTGTTATCTTGCTGCACAACAGCACCCTGGGACATATAGGGCTTGCAGTATAGTCACCTCTCCTTGTGTCCTTGTGATGCCATCACCTTTATAGGCACTGGGACCCTGGTAAGTGCACATTTTGGAGGGGAGCAATTTAATCCAGGGATAATAACACATACTTTCTTGCTTTCCTTCCTGAATTTAAAAATGACTCTGCCAAAATAATATTTAAAGCATAAAGCCCTCAATCATAAAATAAATGTGGAAAACTCAAGTTATGGAAATGCTGAATGAAGGCATAGAAAATGAGGAAAAAGTACAACAATGGATGCAAAGTAAAGAATTTTAAATCTCTGCACAAGATAACATTGATTTGGTACCTAACTGCACTTTAAAAGCAGAGTTTTATTTGTCAAGCTGCTCATAAATTGCTCAGAGCAGTAAGGACTTCCAACTGGATTTCATTCCGGGATCCAATGTGTAAATCAAGAACTGGAAGGACCTTGAGTGCGAGGCACAGTGATGAGAAATCAATGCCGCAGTACCAGTATTCATTACCAAAAGAAAAAAAAATAAATCAATAGGATTCCCTTAGATTGCTACGTGCACATGTCGAGGGTCATCCAATGATCAAACTGGAAACATGTATTATGGACTCTTTAAGAAACAAATCCGAATGTACTCTAGGGATGCAAGAGTTCAGTAAATTCCTGGAATTTCTGGTGCTTTGTGTTTTTTAACATTACACTCGTAGCAGCATGATCATCTCGCTACATGCTGAAAATGGCATAATGGGATGAAGGTTAATGGTTACAAATTAGATTCATTACAGTTGGTAATAAACCTGACTTCTTGTTACTGGTCGACTAAATTACAGGCAGAAAGACTACTAAGTTTCCACGAAAAAACTATGAATTCCACTTAAACCCACAGAAGAACGTAATTGGAATGACTCTGTCAAATGCAAATACTTCATTGAGAACTCTTTAAGACTACAGAGCATGAGCATGAGGACAACATTCCAGTTACACCTGACCAATGATCTTAAGACTTATTACAGGCAGCAGTATATTCTTTGAAAACCAAAATTCTACACAATATCCTAATTGCGGTCTTATTATTGTAAAATGTTAGCAGATCTTCATTAGACTTCATTTCTACACTTTGAACTACGGTACTATATATATCCTATGAACGTTATTGCTTTTTTAGCACCCTACATTGTCCAAAGTAAAAAAGTGTCAACAAGTCTGCACTTTTATCATGTGAAATATTATACTTTTCAACAACCTCATAGTCTAATACAGGAGTTGCAGCCCATGCAGGACACACATACAGGGTCAATTGTAAGACCCCACTTATCCTAGACAGCAGCCACAGGGAGAACATAAAAAACTCCACACTGAAGGCAAACAGGCCCAAATCGAACCAAGGATTCAAGAGCTGTGAAACCGGAAAAACAGAGAAAGAAAATCTTCCTGACTTTAATTGCTGTTTCTGTTTCACTTGTTACTATTCCTGCTTTTGTCCACGGATTTTGCAAGTTCTCTTAATTAATAAATTCTACATAAGTGATACAAATAGGAAAGAGCACATGCTACATGGTGCTAATACAGTTCCCTGTGGTACCCCACTAATTACATTACCCCAATTTCAAGAATTTCCCCTTAGCTCTAAATTCTCTATTCACGTGATACACTTTAGACACAAGGTTTTGATACAAGGTTTCAAACAATTTGTGACGTCATGTGGACATTACTTTAGGTTAGAACAGAGGTGTTTCCTCTTCGTCACATCACTCGTGAAGAGAAAGTTCGGGGATGGGGGTGCTGGAATGGGGCAAACCACTCCCAGACGTCCAGTGTAGAAGCAGGTTATGGCAGTGGCATTCACGAAAATTTATGTAGGAAGCGTGATCATGTTATTTCAGAAGCTCAATTCTATGTGCATACCTTACGATCCCTGTATACTTTTTTGCGCCTTCACAGAACTGGTGCGCATGTCTCCTCCCATGCAATTCAAAGCCCTGCTTATAAACTATGTTAGTAGATGAAAACAAAAGAAACTGGAATTCAAAAACAAAACTAGAAAATATTTTCTCTAGATTATCACATCTAAGACCATAATGGTTAGACCACAGTTAGCATTGTTTCCTCCCACAGTCCAGAGACATACTGGTAGGTTATTTGGCTTCTGGGAGAACTGGCCCTGGTGTGAGTGTGTGCATGTCTGTGAGTGGGTCTGTGTGCCCTGCAGGTTGTATCCTGCCTTGTGCCCATTGCTTGTTGGGATAAGCTACGACTCCTCCACGACCCTGTACTGGATAAAGGAGTTAGAAAGTGTATGGATGGACATCTGAAGACACATGACGGGCATGAGATTAACTCAATAAAGCATATGAAACACTGGCACACTGTGCCTGTAAAAAAATCCTTCATTACTGAGATCAGTTAATTAAAGTCACAAACTCGATAACTCGAAACAGCTGATGTTTGCTGGTACTTCGGCAGAGCCAATGCACTGTGAATAAGAACATTGCTATTTTTTTGTGAGCAAAACATAACGTTTCCAGGAAGATGCCGCAGATCTCAGTGCATATGATGGTAGATCAAGGTGGGAACATAAACGTATATGTAAGCGGAGTTTTAAACTTAAAAAGACACTGTCCTATACATAAACAATTTAGGTAATCTCATTTTTTACAAAACACCACAAAAGGTTTTTGGCTGTTGCCTATTTGCATTCCACGCATATTTTTATATATTTGGTATTTACTTCAAAATAAAAAAAAAACATTAATTTCTAAACATCGTCATTCCAAACAACTGGCCGGAATAGCTAAGAATCAGTTTGCAAATACGCATTAAAAAGCAAAATCAGAAAATTACAGAAACGTTCCAGTTCATCTATACAGTGGGTATACAGGGGATGTATAATAAAGTTTCACGGTTCAATTAAACAGATTTTGTCCAAAGTGCTTAAAGCTCCCAGTTGAATACTTCCATATGGCTCCTAAGCATGATTAATGCATACAAAATTTAGCAAATCCCACAACATATAGTAGTTTTGTGCTGCGTTGCTAAATTTTGACCTCACTCGTCTTCAATTGGACAAGCAGATTTTTCTTTTCCAGTCTCTGAACAGTGCTGGGCGTAGTTGTATATATTGTTTTTTCAATTTGAGAATGGGGTGTGAAAGTCTGAAAGAGTCAGCGTGTGTGTGAATACAGCATTGATGTTTTGATATAATCTTATCAAAGCCTGCTAAGGATATTTTTTAATTCTGTGTGGATGTATTTTTTATCATTTTTATATTAAATCATTTGAATACCTGTTTACAATACAAAATGGGCACTGAGACTAAAGGTTCCTTTGGAAAAACAAGTTATATTTTTGTCTCAGTTTGCAGAAAAGACACTATTTGCTCTATTTACATTGATTGTTCCTTGTTTACTCATGTACTTACAAAATAACTGTTTTGTTGATATTACTGAAGCCAAAGATGACACATTTTTTAGTATGTTGTAAACATAATATTATTGTTAACTTTGGAGATGTTTGTCAACCCATGCATGTTCATTTTTTTAAGGTTTTGCATATCCTTATTTACCAATATATTAAGAGAAAATGCTTTCACTTTTTAGATGGATATAAAAAATAAATTGAAAATAAGATAATACAACACTAACCTAATACCCACTATTAAGAAACTTATTAACGACTTTGGCAAAACATTTGCTGTAGTTTTGTCAGTGACACAAAGTTTGTATGTTAGCATTTGGTTTCATGGCTGCATCTTAAAGTTTTGGAAAGGGTTTATAGAACAGTCACTGGATTTCAATAGGTCTAGGAGCTAAATTTGGTAATTAAATACTGGTATGTTTAAAATAATTTTTACAGTGTTTATATACATAATTATCTACAAATCAATTTTCAATAAATGCTTACTTCAACAAAGTGTTGCCAGTGATGCTAGCCTGGCAGACAATGGGCTTGAGGTAGATGTGTTTATACACTATATGTATCCATTTATTAAATTCAACTCCCTCGCATACATGCAACTGGCTTTCGGCCCATGCCGTGACATATGAAATACACATTCAGCCACGAGTCTTCTAGATACAATTACAGAACCAGCAGGAATTCATCCTCTTGCTAGCAAGACTAATATTAGTCCCCTGGTACTGCTAATGATAAGCAGAACATTTGGCACTTATACGCATGTTTCAAAACCAAGGTCAGTACACATAATTCATCTAACATGTACTTTCATGTGAATTAAGATGGCTGTTAACTACAAAAGTATACTGGACTCCTTATGGATGCTTTGAATGTTTTAAAGGGGTTTTATTGCAATATGTACTGTACTGGAACAACACGGTGCTGCAGTGTTTAGGTTTCCTACCTCACAGCACTGGGAACCTGGGTTCAATTCTTGACCTGGAGTGCTATTTGTGTGGAGTTTGCATGTTCTCCAGTTTCCTCCCACAGAATGAAGACATACTGGTCAATTAATTGGCTTCTTACCTGTGAAAGTTTGTGTGCCCTGTGATGTCCTGTCAAGGGCGTACCCTGCTTTGCACCAGTTGCTAGCTGGGATAGGTTTGGAGTCTCTATAAAGGTTTTATAGAGAGATAATGCCCTCGCTGTTCTTTCACACTACCATACATGCTAGACCCAGTGCATTCCATAAACATAAAGGAGTTGAGCTGTTTGGCACCAGTATCACCCTAGGACATTCTTCACATCTCCCAATGAACATACCCTGAATAGTTCACTGTTCTGATAATGCCAGCTCCTGTGCCTGGGAAGCATTTGTTCCCCAACTGCAAGATGCCATTACATGTTTTTTTTATAGGCTGTTTATGAGCTCCCAAGACAGATCAAATGCCAACACACTCTAGTCCCCAGGCCACAGAAGCAGTCCTGTGATTAAAGAGCTACTAACAGGTTAGTTAAAGGAGAAGCTCACTGTACTCTACTTGAAGTGTCTGTTAAATGTTATGTTGAAACCACACAGCAGACGCACATGAGAGTTTAATTTACTGTAGACTTTCTGGATGCCTGTAGCTTTTCTGACAGCTATATCTACATTATGGCATTGAAAGTTCTCTGTGTATGGGACCAAGGAATAACAGCTCAAAAAATAAAAAAATGGAAAAAATCCACCTACACCACTACATTGTATTGCATGAAATTATTTAAAACACCATCAACAGTTCACTTATTGATGGATCTTCTTCTTGTGAATCATTTGTTTCAGTCCTGCTTTTTCAGTCAGGAGAGGTTTCTGAACTACATACCTCAATTTGTGTACTTTTAAGCTCTGAGAACATTTATGATGCAAACCATTAGTGTGACTCAACATAGTGCAACAGAATACAACTGTACAAGACAAAATTACAGGGCGAAATAGACTACCTCTTTGTCAGTTTGATAAGTCATTAGCAACTTCCTGAAATGAAAGAGCTGGAAGTTTGCGCTGGTCACCCACTTATTGAGCTGCTGACAACAAGAAACAGACTACTGTCAATTCTATTCATACTGTATCTCTCGTGTAATACTGTTGTGTTCAATACTGACACACAGGACAGAAATACTAGGTCCTAAATACCTTCATGTCCACTCAAGCTTTGATATGAAAAATAGAAATAAAAATGATAATATACAGTAGGATCTTGATTGGACTTCATGTTTTTTCAATTATTTTTACATCTTAATGTAGAGGTATTGAGGCTCATTTTGCCAGTCAGTGCAGGTTTCAAAGTGTTAATCCCACTGTTATCATACATGTAGTTCTTGGATATGTTTATATATTTAAAATATTAGAATTTGGTAACAAAATGAATATATGTAAAAAGCAGCTGTAATTGTTGGGGAAAAGTTGACACAGTATGTTGTTTCATAATTTATCCAAAGTTTACGGGTATTGTTCACTGATGCTAAACAAACAACACAAAAAAAAATATATGTTTTAAAAAAAGAGATCTCTATGAATTCTAAGAAGTAAAGATTTAAAAAAATGCATTTGCTCTTCATAGCACACACAATAAGAAGGAATGAGGTGTCATTTATATCTGCACAGGCTTGCAAATTTAATTCAGATAATTAAGGAGAGATTACATCACACTGAAAAGTAGAAAATGGAAAACACAGTTTCAGCTGTGGAGTCTTCTTTAGGTGAGGCTCCACTAATGTATTGGTATCATGCACTTTTTCAGAGTTCCCTTACAGTACAGCCGCTAAAATGGTAAAAGGTCCTCTTTCTTTTAAAGACACACCTGCACCTGCATTGGACATCTGAACAATAGACTGGCATGGAAGATGCAAGGGCATTATGAATATGAAACAAATTGTATTATAGAATATAGCAGCGTCTTGCTTAGCGCTGAGGATGTGTTCCCAAGGAAGGAGTGCCGGGGAAATTCACACTAATAGAGGCAATTACAGCCTGGGATTCAGCAGGGGTGCATTCCCAGGAGTGCTATTTATTACGTAAGAGCAACATATGAGGGCTCCGTGACAGTACCGTCATGCCATTACCGACATTTATTATTAAAAATGCATTACATACAGGAAAGGGTTTAGTCTGAAATTACAGTCACAGAAGAAATCTAATTTGGCTACGTACCAATACAGTCGCCAATTAACTGGAGGGTATGGAACTAATTAAGCTGTGGCTCATCCGAGGGACTTCAGCCTTTATTAATGAGCAGTTATAAATAGTGCTGGCTGTATGGTAAAAATACATGATAGATGTATCAGTGTAGTAATACAGGAAGTATTAAAAACAGCGCCCAGTGTGTCTCACCTCCAGGTCGTAGAGAAACTGGAAGTTGTCCTCCTGATTGGCGGCTCCTTTCACTGCCTCTGCGAGCTCTATGGATCCCCTGCCTCCTCGAGACCAGTGGTGACATGCCACGGCATCGAAAGCTCCAGCATCCTTGGCAATCTGACAGACCATGTCAATCTCTGCTTTAGTGTCAGTCCTGAGCATAAGAAAGTGAAACAGCATGAGGTGTCACACCAGTACAACGGTTTCATGAAATTCTAAAAGTAAGTTGGTAAGAGTCCATAAAGTTCTCTCATTATCATCAGTCAAACGGAATAATCTTATTTCTTTGAGTGCCCGATAAGATGTTCAGACTTTAACGTCTTAGATAAAAGAACAGGTATACACATGTATTGTTGGAACTTCCTGCAGCAGTTATTCTTCTGTGCTCCCCAATCACATTCCTAAGCATAAAATTCAGAATTTTAAGCCACATAATTCATGATCCAGTGATTCAAAGAATCAGAAACCTGCATCTCTTACACTACAGTATATGCTTCTCCTTGTTTAACATCTAGGGCTACAAAAACTCTAGTGTTACTAAATCATCAATAATACTCCTCACCACCATTCTTTCACAGTGGTTCTGTAACAGGAGATGCCATTTCTCATTCTAAGCTTGTTTTACTGTGCTTTTCCTTGTGTGCTGTTAAAAAAGAAACACTTGGCTCGAAAGTGACTGATCTTCATTTGCTTATCTGGGAATGTAAACATCAAAATATAGCAAAGCCTCTTTTTCCTGCCCTTTTAAATTAATAAAGAACAGAAGACACAGAAAATGAAAATTCAAAAGATCTTTTCATTCCAGCAGTGCAGTAAGTATTTATCCATAAAATAGTTTTTGGTCACTAGAAACAAATTCTCTATAGGGTAGCCTCACAATTGTATTATCTGCCATCTGGAAAAGCAAATTCTAACGACATGGGCATGACTGCCTGTAGTTCTTAAGGCATTTTCCAAACCATTGTCTTTATCATTCTTTACAAAACAGATCCACGGTGTCTTCCAAAAATCTTCAACCTCCGCTTGAAACAAATATCATTGCAAATATCAGGTCACAAACAGACTTTTTAATCCACTGAAATGTTTTTTCCCCTTGATTCACACAACATATGCAAGAATATGCAACAATTTCAATATTTATGTGTAACGCAAATGTACAAAACATGGAAATATTTTGTTCCTGGAAGTATTCAGTCCCCCGAGTTTGTAGAAGCAAAGTATCTGCAGCAATTACAGCTTTGAATCTTCTTGGGTACGTCTATATCAGCTCTGTGGGGACTTGGGTATTCTTTGTCCATTTCTTTTTGTAGATTTGCGTTTCTTTTGTGCATTTCTGTCAAGCTGGATCGGGAGCATCAGTGAATTGCAATCTTTAATTAGGATTAAAGGTCTAGGTTTTCTGCTGGTCTTTGGACAGGCAGGAAACCACACAGATAGCACCCCAGGTCCAGAGCTGAACCAAGGGCCCCAGTGCTGCGAGGCAGCAATGCGAACCACCACATCGCGATGACACCCTCTTTGGAAATCATGTCAAGCAATTGAACCCATAAGGAAATGAGATGCATCTGGGCTCAATTTGGAGTGTCGCTGCAAAAAGGCTGAATACTTAAAGACATTTCAGTGTTTTTGTTTAAATTGCATATAAGACTCTGGAAATATTTCTACCCCTCCACTTTGCCATTATAAAGTAATTTGTAGAACAGTGACAAAACAGCCCATAGACATATATATATAAATAATATATATTTGAGCAAAAAAAAACATTGTGAAGAAATCCAAGGGGGAGTGATTACCTTCTCAACACACTGTACCTCCCAAGAAGAAAGTGGCATCCCTCTATGAGGATCAGTAACGACACTCTGTTACTTATGAAGCATAATTCATAATTCAAGTCCTTAGCATAGAGGAGCTGCAGCATATTCTTGCCAATAAATCATATGTAGTCATATGGTTCCAGTTTTTAAGTGTAACCATTCCAACCTGTGTCTAACCATTCCATTTCTGTGTCAAATGGGGAACATTTCATGAACATTATTCAGAGATTAGATTTAAGAAGTACTTACTTGAACACATTTAATGCTACAACAACAGGCACTCCAAACAGGTAAGCAATCTGGATTTGTTTCTTTAAATTGCTGCAGCCATCTTCCACCAATTTGAGGTTCTGTAAGCAAAACGCACACAAGAAAATGTCAGAAAAAAAGGATCATATTATTTTAAGTTTTATACACTTTGTGGTTTTGGCACAAAGTAGATTAGGAGATACTTTATCAGTAAGATGCGTGAGTTAGACAATATGTTTGGGGAATAACTGGCACAGCTCTGTTAGCATTGTGAGCTTTTATAAAGAAATAGCTGGTAGTCTAATTTCAAATGCAAATACAGGACAGGAAGGGTTCAATAGCAGGTGAAATTATATTTGACAATTCATGAAATTATCCTCTTAACTAGAGTTGCAGATCTGCAAAGTGCAATATATTCAGTGGAAAATTAACAATTAAAGATAAAAATACAAATTGTCTTTCATATACTTGTATATACTTGTACCAGTTACAAAACTGTATGTATAACTGTACTAAGTTAGACAAAAATATACATACGAAAGAGAGGCCCAAGTGAAGTGTTCCCAATGTGAATATTACTGCACTCACTGTGAAATCAGGAAAACCTTGACTGGCAGCTGGAGAACAAACTCTTCTCCCAGTAAGAGCTGTGTGCCTTGCTAGGGGCCTTGTCAGCCAAAAGGTTAGGCCAAACTGTGGACTCTGAAGTCAGAGGTCCAGCAGTAAATCACAACTGTGCTATAGGCCTTCTGAATTATCACTAGAAACTCGGTGTGTCAAAATACCAAATACACTCCAGTAAGTATTAATGACAAAAATGCATTTGCAGCAAGGCTTTTAAAAGCTAGTATTTTAAGGCCGATTTCAGAAGAACAAATTAGCAAGAACAAAACCTTCTTTGAGAACAGAAGCCTACAAGGTTGTAAACAGAATTCCCATTCCCCTTCCCATCAAACCCAATGAGCAAACACCGCCATTGTAGCCCTAGAGAGTAAAGTAGCAATAATAACAACAATTCTGCTTGACAAACAATGCAATAACATCTCCACACAAAACAAGACACTGAAACCATGTCTGCGCTTCCAAACACAGCTGAGATTGACCTCGTAAAATAAAAACAAACAAACATCGGACCCTTTCCAGAAAGCTGTGAGATTACAAAAATGAAAATAAATGCATGATGAGTAGTACCATCAACAGGACATAAAGTATCCACTATTAATAGCATTTCAACCAAGTAAAAAATTATGGCATTTTATTAAGCCTGTCAAATGAACCTAGCGGGACACAAAACAGGCCCTAGATTTTAGATCAAATTAAATATTTAAGGAACAGCAAAGAGAAAGAGAAGCACAGAGGTTCCAAAATTAGAATTTGCCTTTACTGGGGGGATTTGGAGTCTCAGTTCCTGGTGCTCTCCAGCTTGCTACCCTTCACTGGGCAAGTTGCTGGGTTGACAGAATTCTGCAATGTGCTACACAGCGTGTTCATCACCCAGCACTGCCACCACTGTGCTCAGCCAGGGAACACAGGTGCCACCTTGAGACACAGCCAAAGCACTGCAACTGTTTGTGACAGGTTAAATAGACAATCAAGAGCAAAATCAAGACTGTGCTGTATATCGTATATGGAAAAGTGTTTCCTTATTGCGAGTATTTGTATACAGTTCTATTTAATAATTATCCTTTGTATGTTCAACCTATCAATCAACAGAACATAAACAGTAACTTTAATAAATTGGTGACAAAAAACATTGGAGGGGCATGATGTCTGGAGTACCATATATAACAGATCACTAATTCAGAGGTCAATTATAACACAGTGCAATAGAATGGAATCGGGGATAAATGTGTAAAGGGAATAATGCATTCCATGAGAGAATTCCTCACACAGAGTGGGAAAACCCAATAAGACTACAGGCAGTAGGAAATGACCTCTTTCTAAAGCCCTAGAGAAAATGTCAGTATTAATCTAATATATATATAATCAATCAAGGAATTAATCAATGTTTAATTGTCTGAATTTCAATCAATCAAGAAAAAACAGATGCAAGAGAATCGTTAGGAAACTTAGACCATTACATGGAATGATCCTGAAGTACTGTATATTTTGAAACTGTACAAATAGAATCCAAAACAAATGTTTAAAATTTCAGGAAAGTAGAGTATAAAAATTGAGATAAAGCTAAAGAGAATTAGAATGGTCTAAGACTGGCAAAAACATTGTGCCTTGAAGTACAGCACAAATTAATGAAACAGGTATGGAATTCAAAGTCAAGAAAGCTGTGGTTCAAATGGTTAAATAAAACAAATTAAAACAATACGGGGGGGTCTCAACATCTGCAAATTTAACTTATTTACAGTTCAGTCTGGCCAAATGGATCTTGGATGGAAGAAGAGCAGAGTGGGATGAAACCAAGCCAAATGATGTTAAAAGCAACTTTCAACTTATCTGCGCAACAGACTAGGATTTAGCTACTGAGTAAGCCTCTTTCTGCCCCTGCCCAAGTATCCTCTACACAGCACCCGTATCTCAACACAGTTTTGGTTTTGTAGCGAACGCTCCAGGTTCTGTGTCCGCTGCGCGATGTTACAGGCTCACTGACAGTATGCCTTATTCTTTACAGTGTGCTAAGCACAGAGTGAAAGGGAGAAAATTTGAAGTGGGACTCATGTCGCTTTAGTATAACTGATTACTATACGTTTCTAATTACTGCTGTTTCTTTCAGATGAACAGTGTGATTTTCATTAACCTAAAGGCAACTGCAGGCAACAGGTGTTCATGGAAATGCAAGAACGTGGATTGGATTGAACTATTTTGTGATCACTGCTCTACCTGAATTACATAAATGATCTAGATTCTGGTATTGTTAGCAAACCAGTCAAGGCTGCAGGTGTTACCAGAACAAAATGATAGAAGCCCAAAATCCAAAAGGCTTAGTCAAAGTTCAGGACTGGGCAAATGCCTGACAGATGTATTTAATGTGCAGGGTGCAGGGTGCAAGGCAAGTGCAGGGTGTTGCAAGCAGTTCAAAAAGGCAAACTATAAAGATGCTGTATAATTGGAAACATCAAGTTTATAGAAGCTACTTTATGTTGACATTTTCATTTTCTACACAATGTAAGCAAGTAATAGAAATGCAAACAATGGTGGGACAAAGATAATGCGTAGAATGCATTTCAAATGGTGCAACACACTAGTAAGAGCTCATTTAGAATATTATTCGCTATTCTGGTCACCATGAAAGAAAAAGATTTAGCTGCACTGGAATCGGTCCAAAGGAATGACACTAGATACATTTCCATCTCAACATTCTTAGCTGTGAACAGAGAAAACTATGAAGGGACCACATTCAAATATTCAAAATCCTCAAAAGTATTGACAAAGATGACTGCCTCACAAGTGGAAACTGTCAGGGAAGTTTGTTTTTAAACAGAGCAGGAGACATATTTTACAAAAAAGATTGTGTAAGCCTGGAACACAGCCATTCTTCTTGAAGCCAATACCCTGACTTCCTTAAAAAATTTTGGATGGGATCCTAGGATCAAATAGCTATGAAAAAACAAATAAGTTACTTCTCATTAGCTGAAATAAGTTACAACTACTCATACTGTAACAAAAAATATTTTTTTAAACCACCTTCTCTCTCAAATAGTTCTGGTAACTATGAAGCCAAAAGGGACCCACTTAGGGACACATATTGTACAGGTTTTGTTCTAAACCTGTTTAAAATGTACTAACATATTTTACATGGGTATTTTCAAGCATAATTGGGCATCAAAGCTGTTTTTTCCTACAAGAAGATTTTAGTATGTCCACAAACTCTGCAATGTGCACGATGAGTCAGAATGTGTCACTACAAATATCTTTCTTTCTTATAGTAGAGGAAGGCATTTTCTCAGTGGCTCAGAAGGCTACACTCCTCCATATAGGTTACAATATATTATTGGTGTATGATTGATTCTGGCTTCACATAAAATTTCCCCAATTTGACTCAGCTTACTACATCACAGTACTGTAGTCCCTTTTAATTTTGGCTGAAGATATAAAGTCAGAAAAATCATACCGGAAATCCCACGAATTAATTCTGTTGTAGAACACAGTAGCTTGTCATTCTCAATTATATGCTAACATCAGGGTTAAAGTAAAAAAAAAAAAGTATACATTGTACATTTCTCCTAAGAACAAAACCAGGGATTTTATTTTAAACAACTTAATCTGTAACTATATAATTACATTATCCAATCCAATTACAATTTTAAACAACTGCAAGGTAATACAAGTGCCCACAATGTCCCTCCCAGAAGACGCAATGTAAAAAAAGTGCCACTCCTTGTCACATTATAGTGCGAAAAGGACAGGGAAAGGAGGCCAGGCTATTTACACTATTTAAAACATTTAGAAATAAATCTACCTGGGTTCTCGGGGCATTATAAGTCATTTTAAGAAGCAGCTACCTTTATATTCCCTTTGTCATCTTACCTCTTCTGTGTATTCCTTAGGTAAAGGTGTCCCTGCAGTGACCTGCAAGCACATTTCCCAGTAAATATTTAGAAACAGGCATCATATACAGTAGATTGAGCATGACCACTTAGCACGTTGTGAACAACATGTTCAACCAGTGTGCACGGCCACATAGTCTTGATTTTCAAATAACCTGAAGACAAGTGATTTTGTGTGAGAGGCTTCTCACTGCAAGTGTTATTTGAAAGGAGTTATGTCATATATACTGTATGCCTATACTTTTATGCAACAGTATTTTTAATTGAGCAATTTAGTGTTTGAAAATACTAAAGCAGACGTTCTTTGCATCTCAATTTACATCCTCATATTAATTTATGATTAGCCTTTGAGGATTTTTAGAAACTTAACGAAATTGAAATTATTTTTCTCAAGAAAAGCATTTACAAATGACTACGTTGATGAATATAGCTAAAATATAACCAGTAACAATTATAATTATAAAACAACGGTAAATACAACATTTATATTCAAATTACGATTTTTAAAAACACTACTTATTCACAATAGATGTTATATTTGAAACATTAAATATTCATTGTATGGAACCCAATTAACAGTGCTCTTGGCAACATCAGGGAAACAGGTAAGTAAGAACATTCTTTTCTAATTAAATTTTACTTATCTAATATAATATTTCTGCCACCATAATCAAGTAATAAAAAGATCTGAATTGTCCTTTTGAGTATGTGAATGTCGGTACTTAATGAGGAAATAAAACAAAAATCTCAAATGTTAAAGTCAAATTAAACCAAAAGACTTACATTGGGTCCACCTCCATGCATCTTTAAAGCTCTCACTGTGGCAACCAAAACGACCACATTTGGATGCAGGCCAGATGTCCGACATTTTATGTTGAAGAACTTTTCCATCCCAATGTCGGCACCAAAGCCAGCTTCAGTCACTGGAAGTAAGACGGAAAGGATTTGCAAGATCATTAAGATAGTCTGCCAGTCTAGATATAAATGAATTGCAACAGTTTCTATCAATTATTGAAATCCACTAGTTATCCTAGGGTGGAAAAATATAAGCAATAAACTGGAGTTGCAATGTACAGATTGTTTAACTCAACCAGCTGTCTTAAATACTGTGCATCATGGATCAATGTAATATTGTATGCAGCTGTTAGAGCCTTTGAATCACTGTCAATTCCCTTTGACAATGACTAGCGTCTGTGCCATAGACTGTTGTCCAGTTTTTGTAATACAGCTGTTTGAATAAAATAACTTAGTAAGGGCCCTATATACAGTATTTACAAGGAACATATTTTATCATGAAATAGGCTTTTTTGCAGATACCACATGGTACTGTAGCACTAAGAAGAGATGCCAGTTTTACAATGTATTACTTTGCATTTAGTACGCTTAACCATACACTAACAAACCAAGTAAGAGATGTAGACAAAACACTGCAGCACCACTAACCTTTTTTAATATTGTTTGGATAAAATGATAAATACGACTTTAGCAAATCATGCTAAGGTCAGAAAATGTTTGCATTTAGAGCTATTTAGGAATCCCTATTCTTAATCAGTGTTGCACATTTTAAAATAAAGTATTCCATAAAACTACATGCTGAAAACAACTGCCCAAACAGTTTAGTATTTTGTTATAGTGGGAAATGGATACTGAATTCGTATGTAGAGATTAATTTAACAAACTCCTCTACAATCGACCATAAACCAAGTCCAAGTATGCTTTCTGAAAATAAGAGAAAGAAGAAAAAATGACAGGAACTGCACATTCCAATTCTGATGGAAAGTGGTCTAAACGTTGACTCAGACTGCTACCATACTTTCAGTGCAACTGTGTGCCCGACATGAATTTAATAAAATAAGTAAAAAGGACAAACATTTCTGGGGGATTGATCTTTCTTTGACACAAATTAAATGGTAAAGTAAATTTTGTAAACCCCAAAAAGTTTATCAACATTCTTGCATATTTTAGATTTTAATCTTCATGAAAGTCTTAATAAAAGTCTTAAACGTTTCAAGAGAATCTGACTAAATGTATACGATTACACAATACAAAACATAACATTTTTTGATTATTTAGTAAAATGAGCCAACAGTAAATATCCCCGTGTGAATAAGCATGTGAAGCCTCGGACTAAGATTTAGTGACACCACGTTGTGCAGCAGTGATTTCAGCTAGACGTTCCCTGTAACTGTCCATCAGTCTCACACACCAGTTGTAGGAATTTTGGCTCCTTTTGTCTTCTCACAGATCCGCCTCAAGTCAGTGACATCGAGGAATTCCTTGCTTGAACAGCTCACTTCAGGTTCTGCCATGACATTTCAAACAGGTTTTGCTCCAGGCTTTGACTTGGCCAATTCAAAATGCAAAATTTCTAAAGCCCATTCTTTTGTAGATGTGCTTGCATGTTCAGGATCATTGTTGCAAGACCCCACTTTTGGCTCGGCTTCACCCGACAAATGGATGGCCTCACATTCTTCTCCAGAATTGCAGAGTCGAATGCCAAATTCATGCTTCCATTAATAATGGCATGCTGTCTGGGTCCAGAAGCAGCAAAGCAGCCCCAAACCATACTCCCTCTACCAAGCTTGACAACCGCAATCAGGTTCTGCCAATGGAAGTCACTGTTTGGTTATTGCCATACAAAACATTTAGCAGTCTGTTTAAAAAATTCAGCTTTTGACATGTCTGTTCAGAGATCAATCTCCCAGTAGTCTTGGTGCAATGGTCCAGGTGCTCTTTAACAGACTAGAGAAGGGGATCAACGTTCTTTTTAGACAACAATGTTTTATTCCTGGCTATCCTTCATTGAAAACCACTCTAAAGGCCTATATTAGCCACAGCAAGAGGTCTGGTAGATCCTTTGTCTGCGGTTCTTTCCACCTTCCTGGATGATTATCAGGGTTGCTTCTTGCTGGGTAGAGCTACCTTGGCCTTAAATACTTTTCATTTTCAGACTATTTGACAGTTTATGGATGGAGCCCCAAACGTATTTAAAAGGGTTTGAAACCCACTCCAGATTGATGGGCATCAACTACTTTTTCTGCGATGCTCTAAAATCGGATTTTTGATGATGGCACGATTTGCCTTTCCACAAATCAACTTCACTATGGTGAGGATCAAAATCGCATGTTTCTGACCATTATATAGGACAGGGCTACCCAAACGTTTAATTGTGCTAAGTAAACTAGGATTTTGCTTTTTTCATATAGACAGATTCTTCATTTTTATTCTACCTCATACATTATTACATGTCAAAAAATGTCAAATTGGTAAACCTAAACGCTTAAGTTAATTAAAAAAGGACTCTTTTCAATTAAAGAAGAGGTACAGTATCTTAAAAATATGGACTGAGGCAGCCCCTTCTATTAGTTCCTAGAAAGGAACGTGCAATACACCACCACCATTAACAAGAGAACAGCCTGAGCCTCCGTTTTGACACCTTAACATATTGTGCACTCAGTCATCTAAATGTACTGTTCCAGCCACTGTCACAGACTGCCAAGGCAAACAAAAATGCACATCCCAGCTGGGAAGGCATGCACTGCACTCCATTGCTTTCCATTTCAGAAAGCCCTCCCAGAACTCAAATAAACATCTACTGACTTGCACAGTAAGCCTGTCTAAAAGCAGTGGCAAAAACTTTGTGCATTTTCCTTGGAAGGCCATATGTGAAGAACTGCTTATATGATGGTCAAAAGTATTCTTTTATAGCAGCATTACATCCATTCAAAGAAATGGACACAAGAATCTCATCAAGATGTGTCATTAGATGGCACCATGTCAGCTTTTACTACAGGACATGGGAGTTTAGTTCAAACTCCTAGACTCTTATAAAATGCCTGCTTTTTTTCTGGTCTGCAGGCTCCTATAATTAATGTTCCAGTTTTGTCTCTTAATACTGCTCCACAAGATCACAGTGACCTAAACAAGTAAGACACTTGGACTGCTTGATTTCAGTTTTCTGCTTTAACAACATTCTGGTAGAAAATGAGAAATTTAAATATATATTCCCCTTCCAAAATGCTTTGATGTCATGAGTGTGCACACCACCAGTTGGAAAATTAATGGATAGAGAGTCAAGAGATGAAAATCTTCAACTTCTACATCTCTGTACTGTGCTGTATGATCAACACATATTGTGGTCACTCACAGAATTAAGGTATAAATGTCTGGAATCAACTGCCAAAACAAAATACAAAACAGTTTTGGCAGTTGATTCCAGACATTGATACCATCATTGTTCATTGAAGAGAAACAGTTTTACTTATATGAAATATAGCACAGCTGCAGATGTAAGCACAGACATCTTACTTCTGCAGGCCATAGGGCAGTGTGTTCAAGCACCCTAGTATTCTTGATCACATTATTAACACAGGGGTGAATGCAGTTTTCTTTGTAAGTGTTTGTACTGCAGGATTTCACAATGCTAAATAGCTATTATGTGTTGTGTCTGTCCAAAGTCAACTTATCTGACTATTAGTTTTAATTCTGATTTAATTCATTTGTCTTTAACTTCCTATTAAAATTAAAATTAAATAGACATTGGTATTAATGGATGTTTGAGCTTAAAAAGGATCTGCGCTGGGCAAAGAACTAAGCAGGAGATATTTGGATGTCAGAAATTGATTAATTTAAAATTGGGAAAACCAGCTCTATAAATCAATCTGACACACATCACTGTCTGCACTTAATTAAACCTCTAGCTTTGAAAGCCTAAAACACCTGACTAGTCACAGCAAAGCCTAGGAAAATAAATGAACGTCAGGCAGAAAGTGCATGATAAGTACTGCCAAGAAAACCAAAATGCATTTGCGTACTCCATATTCACAAAGATTGTTTCAGTGGATGTTGATGGAGCACCAAAAGTACAGAAAGGGGTTTATTACCCACCCACATTGATCACATTGATTGCTTTTTCGTGGATCGTTTCAGTGGACCTTGAAAATGTCATAAATAACTTAGTTAACAATAGGTAAGGCTTTGCTATTTATGATAATTAATGAAGGTAAACGAGGTAATGGCGGGGGGGGGGGTCAGAGAAATGCTTTGATAATGTGAGTACATTTTGAAAATTGGCTCCAATGCCCGCATCTTAAATGTGTTTATTCAACCACAGCAAGCTCACAGCATTGCTATATCTGAGGGTGTGCTATCAATTTTATGTGCCAGTAATGGGCTGTGCATTCTTTGGTGTACAGCTGAGGCTGTCAGTGCCCTCTGGTGTGCACTTTAGTACTGTGGGAACAAACTTTCATTACTCCACAGCGCAGTTTTTACAACAGCTGTCTGAATGAGTCAAATGAGTCAACTGACTTTATGGGGAGCCAATATTTGGTACAGATATCTAAACCAATATGAATAAGTCAATTAAGAGAGACAAACGGCTGCAGCCTCAGGGTGAAAACCAACATGCAGAATCTTAGAAAATATCTGGATATATTCCCTCAGGCAAAGCCACAGTGAAGCCCAGCTGTAAACTCCAAGCCCTCACTTCACACCCTGACTGACAATTCAATCAGTCCTGCTTCAGTCTGCCAGTAGAGTCAGAGGTTACACTGTGCTGGACTTTTGCCAAGGTGGTGAGGGGGTCACAACATTCACCCTTTCATTTAAAAAAAAAATCCTCTTCAGAATGATTTTGAAATTGAAAGCAGTCACGCTATGCCGTTCTCCAAAAATATTTGATTAGCCCGCAGATCCTCAGCTTTGCTCTCCTCTTCAAAAGTTACTATAAATAATCCGAATGGAAAATTATTTTAATTTTAGAGAGGGTAAAAGGCTCCCATGGTAAGAAGCTACATGAAATATTTGTGGTCAGCTTTTCAAAATTAAAAAATGCACAGCAATGCCTGTATATAGAGAAGGCTTGAGGCAGCTTTAAATCTGAGCCCATGCAGGCAGTATTTGGCAACTTTCAGGAAAGCCT